TAAAATTATTTGTGATCAAAAGATTTAAGATACTTTAAAATAGCTTCAGGTTGATTGTTTATTACCATAATAGTATATCATTGATCAGAATAACATTGATATACAGAAAATTTTAGGACATAATTATTGCCTATAAAAGGTTAAAACTCTTATGGACACAGATAGTGGGAGTTTTCCCCAATTATTTTACATATCTTCAGATAAATGCTAACTGTTATTAGAATAGGACAGCTTAGTTTCTAAGCAAATATTTTTTAATGACTATCAATGCTAGGAAAATTAGTACTTATGAATAAGTTATAGTAATTAAAAGATTTTGACTAACAGCATTATTAAAATCTTTGATTATTATCTATATCCAAAGCAATTATATAATTATATGTCATTAGAAATATTTGTTGGGGGTCAGGAGCTGCAGTATACCAGTAGGCTCAGAGCTTATTTCTGGCTCTGTGCTCAGGAATGACTCCTGGCGAGACTCCAGGGACCATGGGATGCTGGGGATTGAGCAGTCAGCAGCATGCAAGGCAAGTGCCTTACCCCACTGTTCTATCTCCCCAACCCCATAAGGATATAATTTTTAATGACCAAGAGTGTGACTCAAGTGGTAAGCACATGCACTACATGTGATGTAGTGACCTGGGTTCAATTTCTGGGACTATGTCCAGGCCCAGACAAAACCCCCCAGCACTCTGAGGTATGACCCACACAACAAAATTTTAAAAAGATTGAGTTTTAATGATGTCATCTGACATCATCTGATGTCATCTGATGTCATCTGACGTTAGCACTTCCTAGAAAGTTTCTTAAAGCAGAAATTGGTCAAAGGACCCTGACTTGCAAGAAGGTGTGTTTCCTTATGAATAACATTCATACTGAAAAATCTCTTCCTTGAATAATATTTTATACTGAAAAATTGCTTCCTTGATTTTTTGCTACGGTTTTTACATTTTTGAGCTATGCACTCTGGTGGTTGTGATTTGGAATGGGTGCAGAAGGGAGTCACAGTGAAAAGGAAGGTGTGTATTGAGAATACAGCTTTATCATCAGTGTTTCTAGATCAAATACCACATCAACAACAACACAAATACTAATAGAAGTAGAGGAACTGGATAATGACTTGCTTTAAAGAGAAGTCAGGGCTGGAGTGATAGTACAGTGGGTAGGGCATTTGCCTTACACGCAGCCAACGCAGGTTTGATTCCCAGCATCCCATACGGTCCCCTAAGCACTGCCAGGAGTAATTCCTGAGTGAAGAGCCAGAAACAACCCCTGTGCATCACTGGATATGAACTAAAAAGCAAAAAAAAAAAAGAGAGAGAGAGAGAGAAAGAGAGAGAGAGAGAAGAATCATGCTCAAGCTCAGAAGTACTCTGTATTTTCATGCACCCCAGTGTTCACACCAGGATCCCTGTAAATAGTCTTGATGCAGGTCAAGGGGTTCTGAAACCTAATTTTTCTAAGAAAGTCCCAATTCCTTGTCCATGTTCTAACTTGGCTTTAATCTTTTTTCTCAGAGATCTCTTGCTTTACTTTATCTGGTTTCCTTAAAAAAAGGTAAAAATGGTGATTGAAAAGAAATTTTCCATTCTAATGTCATGAGAACTAACAATCACAACACGAAAGACCAGAGATCTTTGTCATTTATTCTATTTTTTGTTTTCAGTTAACTTGCCTTGTTGATATGTTCCTGGATTTTTCCTTACTAGTAGGTTTTTACCTGTTATCCTCCCAAATGGTGCTAGTAGATCTCTTCCCTCAGTGCCAGGAGGATCCAGTCTCCTTGAAGTTATTGGCTTAAAAATGCTTGCTTGGTAGATCAGTTCACCTTCTCTTGCCTCTTGCATAAGACTCCCTCTGCCTAGTTTCATTCTGAATCAGGAAAAAGAGATGCTTAACTCTATTGTGCTTAGGTTTGAAACTTTTTTCCTTTGTATGATCATTAGTCAGGCCTAGTGGTAGCTGACTTCAGAGATTTGATGCCCTCCTGGGTCATTCATTATTCCTCTGTAGGTGTTGCTTATTCCCTATCTCCCGCCTCTTGAAATTTTATTACATAAAAGCAAATCATGCTCAGCTAACTTCAGCTCCCTAGGGCGGTGGGGAAGTTATAAAAGGAAGATCATTATGACTAGGCCTCTGGTTTGGTTATTAGGAATGGATGGAATATTAGTGCTCTCCCTTCCAAAACCCATCAAAGATAGGGCTATCTCTGAGTTAGAAAATGTAGAACCTTTAGAAAATTTTCTAACAGATACAAATGGAATTTATCTCAGAGATTCTCCCTTGTAGATTCTTTCCCACACTTCTCCCACATTGTCTTGGGTAAGGGGAATTGTTAAGGCAAAGTATTTCACTATTTCCAGGGATCAGAAGTTTTGTGATACTTCCAGAGCAGTGGCTAATCAAGCTATTGTGATTCACCATTAGTGTGAAGAACTTTTCTAACATGTGAGCTGCAATTGTTCCACCAAACCCTTATCTACACAACACGAAGGAAGGGTCTGGAGGAGAGCTGGTAGTTTTCTAGACAATATGGCCTTTGATTTCAGATAATTTTTTTTATTCTTTGATTTCTTTGTACCTCCTGGCCACAACCTCAAATTTAAGGTAGAATCTAATTGGTAGTGTTTTAGTGATCTTTTGCTCGTGTTTCCTAAATCACTTAAGTAGTGTTGGGTGAGTATCTAGCTTGTCCTTTTTTAACCTGGAAACCTAGGGAAGGATGAGGGATTCCCCTTTAGCTTACAAAAGAGATGTTGGGGAAATGGTAATCCCAGATACCAATTTTCTTTTCTCCTTAACTAGCTCTGTGAAACAAAACAAAGCAAAAAACCAAACAAAATTTAAAAAAAATTTAAAAATATAGAAATCGCTTCAAGAATAAATCTCCTATGGGTTTATAAGGTGAGATAAAGTATGAAGGCAGATAACATGATAAGGCCATGCTTTCTGCCTACAGTATTTCAGATTTGTGAAAAATCATGCAGTTTGCTACAACATGGATGGATCTGGAGACTATCATGTTGACTGAAATCTGTCAGCAAGAGAGAAACAGAATATGTGAAATTTAAAGAAACTTCATAGAGGAATACCATATGCCCAATGGCAGTAGAAACAGGAAGCTTACAACTGGAATGGGGTGGGGTGGATTAGTTAGGGAAAGGAACAGTAGGACAATTGGAGAGGGGAAAAGTGCCTGCCACAGAGGAAGGCTGGAGGTTGGTACATTGGTGGAAGGTAGTTGTTACAGGTGAAGGGATTGATGTTGGAACAAGAAAATACCTGAAAATCAAAATACTGTTGTAACTTTGTAGTTCATGGTGAAAATCATAAATACCTTTGTAAGTTTGTAGTTCAATTTAAAAAACAAAACAAAACCAAAAATAACCTTACTTATAGAGAATTTTGTCAATTGTTGGGTCAAGATACCCAATTATTGAAAGTGCCATAAGAAAATCATGTTAAATATATGTAATCTCTACCTTGTAAAGTTATGTTAGAAATGACAATGAATATTGAATCACTCATTACTCCCTAGTAAACCCCTGAGATCACTTTCTTTGTCTTTTTCAGACTCGGTTTATTGATTTGTTAAATGGGAATAAAAAGTAAATGAAACTTCAAGGATTGTAGACTAATCAAAGGAAAATATAAGACTCGGTGTTATGCCTAAAACATTGTGTAGTTCCAGCAGTAAAGTTCAAATTAAATTGTAACATAAGTGAATAAATGAAATTTCAATATGTACAAGAGGACCTGAGGCAAAGGAAGTATTAATGACTCATGAATTTTCACAGAAATTCTCCATTCTTTGTATAGCCACATCTTAATTATTCAGTTCCCAGATTATTCATTAAATATGTATTGCCTATATACTTTATAACTGCATTAAATTTCAAGGGACATTTTGATGCAGGGAGGCACAGAGACATAAGAAATTCCTTATATCAAAAGGAATATACCTTTGAGTTCAGTAGACAAGAAAGTACATCTAACCAATTTGTCACTGATTCTTTGAGCTAACATGGTTGTCATGAACCCACATTCTGTCAATTAGTTGGCTTTCTGAGCTTTAAGTCCTTTTTTAGGAAGTGATCCACTCTTGGAAGTACTGAGGGGGAGGGAGAATCATGGTATGCCTGGGATCAAACCAAGGCCTCACAACCAAGGACATAAGCTCTACCATTTGATTCATATCCCTTCCATTGCATGCTAATATCCTTTTGGATTCCATTTTATCTGACTTTGAACCCTGACTCTAGCAATATTATCTTAGATAAGACACTTTACCTGCTAGGGCAACTTCCCCACCTATTAATGGAGAAGGAGAATGTCTCCCTATTAAGATCAAGAACAATAATATATATAAAAGATACTAACATAGTCAACCATTGATGTTTCCTTATTCATGATCATGTTCTTGATGAAATAGAAGACCAGAGGGAAAGGTAGGGAAGTCATGGGAACGTTTTACTTCTTGGTATCATTGTCACTGTCACTGTCCTCCCATTGCTCATCGATTTGCTCGAGCTGGCCCAGTAACATTGTGAGACTTGTTACTGTGTTTTGCATATTGAATACGTCATGGGTAGCTTGCCAGGCTTTGCGTGTGGGCAAGGTGCTCTCAGTAGCTTTCCAGGCTCTCCAAGAGGGGCAGAGGAATTGAACTCGGGTCGGCCATGTTGGCTGCATGCGAGGCAAACAGCCTACCCACTGTGCTATTGCTCCAGTCCTTCTTGGTATCAAATATGACAAAAGCATTCCTTCTAGGAAGAAGTTGCAGACTAATGGTCATAATAAAATGTGGGGGTTATTTCTTGATTATAATTACCCATGCTATTGCTATTCCCTATTACCACAGAGAATTAAGAGGCATGAGTCAGCCTTGGCCCCAGCAGTGTGTCCTATGGTAATGCAGAGGTAATGCAGGTTCATGTTTTCCTTTCTCATCAGATGAGCTAATCAAACTTCATTTTCTTTTTCAATTGTTATTTTAGTGACAAAATGTTCCCAGCCTTTGGGTTTGGTGCCAGGATCCCCCCAGAGTACACGGTGAGTAAATGGTGATGCCTTGTCTATCCTCTTGCTCTAACCCCAATATAGCACAAAGACTCCTATGACATCTTGCTCTTGTATCCTTCTAAAGACCTTTCCTTCATGGGAGTCTTGCTCTTTGAATCCTTATTATGATATATAATCCATTATGGAAGGAAAGTCATAAATGACCTTCTTTCCACCAACTTGCCTTCTTTTTTTTATAGTTCATAGATGCTTTACTCATAAAAAGGAACATTAAAATAGCAAATATATATTTTTAAAAATAAGAAAATCGTATGCCAAACCTATAGATGTTATTTATTTATTTTTTATTAGTGAGACACCATGAGGTACAGTTTTATACTTACAAATTTTTGTGCTTGGGTTTCAATTATACAGTGATCAAATGCCCATCCCTCCACTAGTACCCATTTCCCACCACCATGGATCCCAGTATCCCTCCCACCCCCCATCCCCCCAATCTCACCCTACCTCTGTGACAGGGCATACCCTTTTGTTCTCTCCTTTTGGGTGTTGTGATTTGCAAAAGAGGCATTGAGTAACAATCATGTTTGGCCACCAACTTGCCTTCTGATGGAAATCCAATCTACTGGCCTTCTGCGTCTTCTCATAAAGCCTCACACAAAGGTTCCATAGTTTAGCTTCATTGAGAGATGGATCTGATCAGAAACTTCCAAAACAGTCAGAAAGTTATTCTTCAGTGACTCTGAGTCCATTCAGGTAACTCTGAAGGAAAGTCTGCTGGCAACGTTCACTGTGAACTTTTATGACAACAGAGTCTCTAAATAGACTCCCTAATCCCTAGTGTCTAAATATGGCTCCTGTGTTGGAGATACAGAGAAGCCCTGAAGAGAGAACTGTTCTGGCTTCTAGAACTTGGAAGTTTAAAAGTTCCAAGGAAGCCATGACTACCCTGTTTGTTGATGGTCCTGACATCTCATGGCACCAAGAAGGCAAAGATGGTATATGGAGGGTTGGGTTGTGGTATACCAGATGCTCGTGGGGGACATGCCTACAGCAAACTCAGATCCCCTAAGTGGGAGGGCTTTGAAGTGGCAGCAGAGTCACATCTGAGCTTAGAAGTCCAAGATACGTGCAAGCTGCACTTCCCAGATACCGAGTTTTAGTGTCTGAGTAAAAGGGCGAGAGGCCTATGCCCACATTCACTCCCTTACCAGACCAAATACTTGACCATTCTGTGCCCCTTTTGAAAGAGGTAATCTATCCCCCTATTATCGCTGGAGTGAGCAGTGAATGGGATGGTGAAACTACCTGATGGGTCCTTAGGACTGGAAAGTGGGTATTGCTTTCCATCCCAGCCTCCCTACATGTTATAGGCATGGCTCTAGGATTTTAGAATCATTTGTCAGAAGCTGCACCTGAGGCGACAGACATTGGAGCAAGTGTTGCCAAGGGATGACCTGTCAACATGATTCAGATCACAAATATATTTGACATCTCATTATTTTTTCAAAGAATTATATCGGTTCATATAAAATGTTCCATTTCTGTCTCCTGTGAGAAAATGTAAACACCTGGTAAACCAAAGATTAGAGAATTTCACATTCAAGAATCAGCCAGGAGTTGGGAGATGCAGTTCTCTTCAGGCAAGGATCCACTCCCAAATGTGGGCAGGTGAGTGCCCACCTTCCACACTGAGCTGCTGAGCCCTGAGACCCTAAGTCACTTCAGTAATCACTAGTACAGCTAAAGCATCCTACACCAGGGCCCTCCAGGAAATCTTCCAGTCTTGGATAGGTCCTCCTAGGGCCAGTTAAACAGACATTGTCTTGGTCTAGCAGAGTTGAAACAGGCACATGGGAAATCTTGTTTTAGGTCTTCCTTTTCTCCTTCATCACAGCTGCCTTGACTCCATCCTGAGCCTTTTCTCCTTGTTGTTTTCTAAAGTCCACAATCCCACCTGATCCCTTGCTCTAGCTCTACTGCCTGTCTAGTAACTTACTCTTCCTGTTGATCCAACAGGGATCCCTCACATAGCCCCAGTTCAATACATCCCTCAAGCCCATTCAAAGACATTTCCAGAACAGGCACTATTGGTCCAGGAAGCTCAGGTGCTCCAGCTTGTTGACAAGGTCATCACCATCTTATCAAATAAAAACAGAGTTTTCCTGGAAACTGACACCTTAGCACCCAAGTGGGTCCTCTCCCAGGTATATACTTTGAGATAAGGATTTGGATACAAGTGGTTTATTTGTGAGGTGGAAGAAACCACAATATAGAGGAGATAGCAGAGAGTTAATGTGAGGAATATGAATTAAGTAGTTATCTAGGACAAAATCTGGGAGACAATGTAGAAAAAACATAGAGCCCCCCTATCCCCCAATAGATAGAGACTGGGGTATTGATAGACTACTTCCCCTTTGCCAAGAAGTAAGGGTTCTCCCTGTGCACATTAATTCCCCAGTCCATTTAGCTTGTCACTTGCACGAGCAAAGCAGGCTAGAAAGATAAAGTTAGCCCAGCAGATCAGGAGATTGGAAGTCAGCAGACTTCCTGGAATTGCGAAGGGTAAATGAATAGTCAGACAGCCTCAGCACTGACCCCCTACTGAAAAAAGGCAGGGTGGTCTCTAACACAGTGACCTATTTTCTCTCCCACAAGAGAATTGGTGTTTGGAAAAAGCTTGCAAAATAAAAGTCTATAAAATTCCAAATGATGCAATCAAAAGTATCTGGGTGCCACAACACCCTTCTTGTCTTATCGGGTTTTTGAAAGAAAAAAGTCAACAGTGTCGTTTGCCCTTGTCCATTGGTCCCTCCGGGTAGAGGATTTGTGGTAGAAGATGGCCAGATATATTCATTTCACAACTACCTTTCCCAGATTATAGAGCTCAGTCTGTTTCATCTGTCTCTGTGTGAAAAATCTCCAGCCCTCTCCTTCTGCATATCCCATTAGAATGTTTCTGAAATGTCAGCAGTTTAGCTGGTGCCCATCTCATCACTCCCACATCGAGCAGACAACCTGGGTTACTAAGTTAACTTTATTTTTTCTTCTTATCACTGGGTCCAAATTGAGCTTAGCTAACTCTCAGCCTCCTCTCCATGGCCAATTTTCTCTGGAAGCTCTTTGGATCTCAGATTTTCCTGAACTCTTCCTCTTGGATTTTTTTTTTTAGTACATCTTAGTCTCCCCTCCTTTATCTGATTCTAGGAAATCTTGCTGTCACCTCCGCTCTGCAGGGAGCTAAGAATTCACTCTCCATCTCAGATTGATTGTGTAAAGGCTTAAAATGGTTCCTGCTGCTTAACACATAATGAATGTCATGGGCATTTGTTTGCAGACTCTAAACCCCAGTGCCTCCTGGTTGGATTAAAGTTATAATTCTCCTTTCTTCCTTTTTTCAATTTTAATTGGTGTCTAGGTCTCTCATGACTTCGCAATCAACTTTAATGAAGACAACCCCGAGTGTGCAGGTAAATCCCAACATCAAAGAGAGCCAACAACTTGCTACTTTTGGGTTGTACCTGTCCCAGTTTCAGTTCTCTCCTCGGAAGCAGAATAGTTCCCAGCTGAAACAAATGCAGCCTTCCTGGATCCAAGTGAACTTTGCTACTCCCAATGCAAGGGAAAATTTTAATGACAGAGCCAAAAATAAATAAATTAATTAAATAAATAAATAAAACCGATATAGTAAAGACAGAATGCAGAAGACACGAGGAACATGCAGAGAAGCCTCCTACAGCAGCCCCCCCCCCCTTTGCTTTTTCCTCCACTTACATGGCCTCAGGGCTGGAGCAATAGTACAGTGGTAAGGTGTTTGCCTTGCGAGCAGCCAGACCAGCTGAGCTGGGTTCGATTCCTCCGCCCCTCTCGGAGAGACTGGCAAGCTACCAAGAGTATCTCACCCGCACAGCAAAGCCTGGCAAGCTACCCGTGACATATTTGATATGCCAAAAAAAAAAAAGTAACAACTAGTCTCACAATGGAGACGTTACTGGGCATGCTCGAGCAAATTGATGAACTGGAGGACAGTGACAATGTTACAGTCCACATGGCCTCAGGGTGAAAGTCTCCAAATGATGGAAGAGTGAATGCCACCCATCTCTACACCAGAGCACCAGCAGATGCCCAGGTCTGGCAGTTTGCTCATTCCTCTTGCTCTTGGCGATGAAATGAATGAGCTGCCACAAGCTCCTTCTGCTTTCACTCGTGCAAGAAGTTTTGCTTTCTACCTACAAAGACTTTAGCAGCAGGGAGAGGGTCCTGAGTACATCTAATTCTCAAAGGTGATCTGGGATGCTTGTATCACTTGTATCACTTGTCATCCTGGTTGCTCGTCAATTTGCTCGAGCGGGCACCAGTCATGTCTGGGATGCTATATACTAAAATTGAGGAGGTGGTGTGAAATTTAGAAGAACATTAAAATTAACCCCCAACCCCCCACCTCCACACTATACCACCACTAAAGGCTGTTTAGTGTGAGCATGGAGTTGTTGGTTTTCCTTTGATATTTTTAGCATGGCCTTTGTGCCCATGATAGAGGCCCTGGGCCTGGAATTCTACACATCATTGGTCCTTTCCACCTCAACCTCCTGTGCTGGGCTCCTGAGATGAGTCCTATGTCTCAAAAGCCTCTATGCCTTTGGGCTGGTTTAGGTTCTAGACAATATTTTTCCTGCCAATAGACGTTATCAAGTAAACCCCTCTCTCTCTTTGCCTGCAACTCCCTCCTCCCCTCAGAGATTTCCCCTTCTGCTTGTAAGGGAGTTGCTGGTGGCTTGGTGAAGTGGGGGAGCGAGAAAAGTAGCCTTGGGAAAAGAATGCTTCCACCTCTCTGCTCAACCCACCTGGGCCACCTGAGGAAATGCCTGTCATGGATCAGGACTGGTAAAGTTGGCTACAAGCATCTACTGGGCGAGGATGCTCACACAGCTCCGGGAGGCAGTCAAGTTGTGCCTGAAGCCCACTTGCTCTGCACAGCGTGGGAGGTGATACCTGACAGCAGAGTTCTCGGGGAGCTGTTGGACACCGGCTAGAGTGAGGAATTGGTTTCTGTAGGAAAAGCAAAGGCAGCCCTCACCTGGCATAGGCATTTCAGATTCACCACCTTTCCTCACAGAAAAGAATGTCAGTCAGAAGGAGGAGAAATAGTGAAGCAAAATAGTTCATACTGAAAGAAATGCAAAGAAAGAGATATGAGGGGAAAGAAAGATTAATAGGTGTTCAAGAGATAACACAGGCATCTTCAAAATGGAGGAGAGCTTCCAGTGACTTTTGGGAGAAGATCACTTAATTACTTAACTTCCCGTTAGTTGTCAATTTGCTCAAGCAGGCGCCAGTAATGTCTCCATTTGTCCCTGTCGCATGCTAGTGTAGCCCAATGGCATCTGTTCGCTCTGGGAACATGAAGAGCCTCAAACCAATCGTTCATGATCTTGATGAAGAAGTCTGACCATCTGGTAGGCCACGTGGTCTTTTGACATCCCGTGGAATCCAGTTGGTAACAGCTCTAATCCAGCGGTAGTCTTTAAATCTCATTACGTGCCCAGCCCATCTGATTTTTGACACCTTGGCAAATGAGACAGCGTCCCTGATTCTTGATCTTCGATGGATGTCGGAACTCCGGATTCTTTCTCTCATTTGAGTGAAACGTGATATTCCAAGCATAGCTCTTTCTATTCTTCTTTGGGAGACCTGAGTAGCATTCTCATCCTGTTTGCATAGGGCCCAGGTCTCTGAGGCATATGTTAATGCAGGAAGAACAGTGGAATCAAAGAGAGGTGCCCGGAGCCAGAGGTTCTTCGAACTCTTAGCTATTTCTTCGACGTTCTTGAAGGCGTTCCAAGCCGCTCTCTTCCTCCTGCGCAGCTCAGGTGCCAGGTCATTTGTCATGTTGACTTCTCGACCTACGTACACATAGCTGTTGCATTCAGAGATGGTCGTTCCATTGAGAGCGAATGGGGCGTCAGGAACAAGGCTGTTTCTCATAAAAATTGTCTTCATAAGATTCAGCTGTAGTCCTACCTTTCCACACTCACGGTCAAAGTCGGCCAGCATTTGTGCCGCTTGGCTGATGTTTGGTGTTATTAAAACAATGTCATCAGCAAAGCGGAGGTGGTGTAGTTGCCGACCATCTATCTTCACTCCCATTCCTTCCCATTCCAGTCGTCGCATGATGTTCTCGAGGGTGGCACTGAAGAGTTTCGGTGAAATGGTATCACCCTGCCGCACCCCTCTCTTGACATCAACGATCACTTCTTTGTAGAATGGTGAGATCCTGGTAGTGAATCCGCAATACAGCTCATGGAGGATCTTGATGTGTTGGGCTTGAATGCCCTGATTGACTAGGGCTTCAATGACCACTTCCATCTCAACAGAATCAAAGGCCTTCTTTAAATCAATGAACGTTAAACAGAGCGGCATCTTGAACTCCCAAGAAACCTCAATGAGCTTGGTTATTGTGTGGATATGGTCGATGGTGCTGAATCCTTTGTGGAACCCGGCTTGCTTGCATGGTTGTCCTTCATCTAGTGTTCTGCCAATCCTATTTAGGATGAGTCGAGTGAACAACTTGTAGATGACAGACAATAGGCAGATCGGGGGATAGTTGCCAATGTCATGGATCTCTCCCTTCTTGAACAGTAGTACGGTCCTGCTGGTTTTCCATTGGGACGGAACCTTGCATTCAGACAGGTAGCGAGTGAAGAGCCGAGCCAGTGTATTGATGAGTACTGACGGCAGGTTCTTCAGGTGTTCAGGTCTGACCTTGTCTGGGCCGGGTGCTGTTTGTTTCTTTACCGACGAAATGGCACTTTTGGGAGAAGGTTATATATAATTTCTCCAAATTGTCTTGCCCTGGAGTTCGCTACAAACTTTAAAAATTAATCAGGGCTTTGTCACAGAGGAAGTCTCACTGTTGATGGTCCTTTCATATTCTTATCACAACCTTTAGATTCTTCTGCAGCTTCTCCTTTCCTAAGGGGCTCCATGCTTCTCCAAGTGGTGGGTGCCTCAGTTTCTGCATCTGATTGATGACTCAGTCTCCAAAAAGCTCAGGATTTGCATCTCAAAGAGGTGTGTTCCTCATGCCTTTGGGCTAGTCAGAGCTGGGCAATTTCTTCTTAAATTTTACTCTTTCCCAAAAACCTCTTTACCCCTATCTGCCTGTGACAAGGGGAATGGTTTGTATCCCTGCTTGGGAATTATACAGCCTGTGTTCTTTCTTGAGCACATTTCTCTAGACTCATTCTCTCTCTCTCTCTCTCTCTCTCTCTCTCTCTCTCTCTCTCTCTCTCTCTCTCACACACACACACACACTCTCCCTCTCTCTCTCCCTCCCTCTGCCCCCCCCAATACACATATTTTATTTTAAAAAATTAAGTAGTCTATTTGCCTTGTGACTAGGAGCACAGCCCTTGAAACACACAGAACTGGGTTTGAATCCTAAGTCTCTTACATGTGGTATGACAGGGCAGATCCTGTAACTTCACTACACCTTCTGAAGTTCAGGGGTCTCCACGGGTGTCTTATGTGAGGTGCCTCTGCCACCCCGAGGCTGTCTGGGAAAGCTAGGATTGGTAAAGTCTATAGATGAGTCCCTGCACGGCATGGATCAGAGCCCTGCCAGCTCCACCAATGACCATCAAGCCACTCCTCACATCTGTTTGGTCTTCTCAGCACAGGAATTAATCCCCACCATTCTCTCGGGAACCATGGACTCATGTTGCAGCCAAGAAATGCTCTTTGCAGTCCTAGGCCTGACCCAGGGTCTTCAGGTTCTTGTCATAGCTCTTAGAAAGGAATTTCAGGAGTGGAAAAACAGTGAAGTAAAACATCTTAAAGGGTTTTCGAGGACGGGGAAGGAGGGAGAGCAGTGAGAGAGTAACATGTTCAAGAGAGAATGCGGGCTTCTCCAAAGGCCAGAGAGCTTTGAATGGTCTTTAAGGTTGGCTTTTATATGGATGTAGGTGGGGGTCACACCCACCACCTGGCCCCCTGGCACCGTGTAATCTCATCAACGGCCAAGACTCAGAGACTATAAAAACCAGCTCCCGGAAGAGAACAGTGCAGTCTCCTGCCCCCGCGCCTGGCTGTCCTCGCCGGGGCCCCTTGGAGGGGAGTGGGTTGAGCTTTCCTCCTCGCCCCGACCAGGGCTCCGGCAGCCGAAGACCTCCAGGACCAGTCACCACCATGCTGAGGCCACTCTCCGCACACATGAAGGTACCGGCAGAGGGACAAAGCCACGCGAGTTCCGGGGCCGAGATCTCCAAGCCTACTCGGATTGGGGCCGAGCATCCTCCACACAGATCCTCCAAATTCCAGTAGGCGGGGATCACACCCACCAAATGACCCCCTGGCGCCATGTAATACCATCAACAGTCAAGACTCAGAGACTATAAAATCCAGCTCCCGGAACCGGAATGTGGCTGCGCAACATCTTATTGACATCTTATTATCTCATTCCTACTTTGGACAAACTGGCAGGCTATCGAATGTAGCCTGCCCACACGGCAGAGTCTGGCAAACTCCCTGTGGCATACCCAATATGCCAAATGCCAGTAACAATGATGGGTCTCATTCTCCTAAAGAGCCTTGAATATAATCTCAGGGCTAGGATGAAAGGGACGTTACTGGGGCCTGCTCAAGGCAATTGACGAATAACAGGATGATTTGTGATTTTGATTTGTGATTTTATATGGATATTTCTCAGACTGTCTTGGTCGGCTGCTTTAGTCTAGAGTTTCTCTGGCAGAGGTGGGTGGTCTTTCAGATGTAGTGAATCTCTTTCAGGTCCTTAATTGCAGTCTCTGATGAAATTTATGTCTCTATGGCATAAATTCTCTATGTCTCTATGGCATAAATCTCCAACACAATGAAGATGTTACTGGGCCTGCTCCAGCAAATCGTTGAACGGGAGGACCATGATGATCGTGATGGCTGTCCAACCTCTTTAGGGTTGTCACTGGCACCAGGAAAATCTTATCGGGTGTAGGCCTTAATTCTTGCAGCTTTGGTATTATTGGATTTATTACTTCTCAGAAATCCCGTTGCCATGGGCCCTCTCCTATCTCCCTGCCTGCCTCAGTCAGTACAGGTCTCTTTCTAGAAGCCAGTATCTGCACTTAAGGAACATACCGGGTGTCATCTAGCTCATATGTTCTGAGTTCTTGAAATGAAATCTTCTTTGTGAACTGGAGTTTAGGGAAAAGGCAACTTTTGACCTCCATCTTGATTGATTTCTGTGGGAGTGTAGGCAGCAACACCCACCATGAGGTACATCTTCAGAACATCGCTCTGATGTTGATAAGGTTCAGTGCTTGGCTTGTATGTGTTTAATAATAAATAGATTAGTAAAAATAGTGAACTCTTGCTCTTGGTCCATTTCAAGGGATTCAAGGGGTGGTGGAAGCCTACCAGAGCTGCCTTCCCAAGCTCCAGCTCTACGGACCCACCAACATCGCCCCCATCATTCAGAAAGTTGCCAAGTCCGCCTCAGAGGAAACCAACACCAAGGAGGCATCGGTAAGGAGAGGGAAGGGAGGGCGGCCAGCTTGCTAAGTAGGGGGAAAGGGAGTGTCCCTGGTCTGGATATTGGTCATAGCACCCCTCCCACTGCAATTGTAAATTCAATTATTTCTATATGTGTGAGTTTGGACATGTGACTAGACCTTCTCTTATCCTCAGTCTCAATATGGGGACCTGAATAATAGTACAGTGGGTAGGGCATCTGCCTTGCATGCAGTTGACCTGGGTTTGATCTCCAGCATCTCATATGGTCCTCTGAGCACTGGTGAGTGGGTGTGGCCCCCAAAACACATTAAAAAAATAAAAGTCTCAACATGTCTGCAACACTAATGGAACGCAGGGAACACAACAATGGCTCATGGACGATAGCCCATGGGAAAAAGGGAAATAAAAAACAAAAAACCTGTCCCAAAACAAGCTTGCTTGCTTTCCCCTGTACCCAAACTACAGATGGAAGGGCAGCAAAAGTAAAATGGATAACTCTGCCCCCTGATGGCCACGCGCAGTAACACATGCATCGAAGCAAGAACCCTCTCACATTGGTAGGGATAGAATGGCCTGAGAATTTTCTTTTATTTTTTAATATTTTTATGGCAATCTCATGTTTTCCCATAATAATAATATTATTTTATACTCACAATGTATTAGGGATTTGGGGCATGAGCCCAAATAGCGTTTGTTTTACTTCTAAATTGAGAGTTAAACAAAGCACCCTGATCATTTTTTTCTGTCTCACTTTCATTGATAACAACATGGTTCTTTTTTAGATTTTGATATCCCCCCAGATTTATCCAATATTACTAAAATTTTCCCCCCTATGATTTCTCCTGGGTCCCCAAATCCTGTTTGTATGAGGAGATTGGACTGTACTTCTTGTCTTTCATCACCTTTACCCGTTTGCCCTGAAGCTGTGCTTGTCTTAGAGTCGATGCAGAAGTATGTCTCTCACTAACCACTTCTCCTGTGCTTCAATAATACTCCTCCCCGGGTACCCCAGCACGATGAAGTAAGCAGCTAGAAGCTCTCATTCTCTAGCATCTTTTCCCCCTTTTTCCTGATGACTAGCAAACACACATGCTGGAATAGTGCCTGTTCAAATTCAAATGTCTCCTCTGATACCACTGTACCTTTAGCTACTGTTTCTTATTTTTATCTCCTTTGGAGAAAAAAATTCATTGAAAGAATTGCCTTGTCTCATTCTCTTCATTTCTTCTCCCATGGTCTCCTTCCCCAGTAACTTTCCTCCCCCAAACTTCTCTGAGTTAACGGCGGCCTCTATCTAGTCAAATTCCCAGAGGCCTCACGCCCACTGCATCCTCAGAGATGTAAGTCAGGGAGAAGGGTTGAACAAGGTTAGTATTTCATTTTATTTTACTAACATTTTGTTTATCACCAGAACCTAAAATTAAAAAGTCAGGCTTAGAAAGCCAAACTATAGAATGGATTTGATATTCACAGCATCTTCTTCCTAAATCTCAGTGAAAGGAGAGGATGCAAACTTCTCTCTTCTCCTTTCTCCCCAAGAGCATGATTTGAAAAGTGAACCATCTCAGTCTCTGTCGGGTGTTTGGACTCACAAAAATAAAAGTGCCTGTTGGTCTGGAGTTGGGGCTGACATAAGCCCTTACTCACTCCCGAAGCGGCCCCTGAAAGGGCCCATCAGGAGACAGTACAGGGATAATCCAATCCAAATAACCACCTCATCTGCCCCAGAGTTCAGGAACACTGAGGCTAGAATCCCTAGTGGTGTTTCTGGGTCTTTCTATAACCCCTAAGACCCTTTGCGCCCACTATTACTCAGGACTCAGAACTTAAGCCTTAGAATCTGTTAAGGGAATCTGTCAGTAGGATTTTCTCCTTGGTCTTGGGAAACTTTTCTAGAATGAAAAAAAAAAAAAGATTTTCCTCTTCATCTAAACACAAACTACCAGCCCATTCAAAGACTGTATTCTTGGGACCAGAGAGTTAATACAGCAGATAGGTCACTTGCCTTGCACGTGGCTCACCCGAGTTGAATCCCTGGTGCCACATATGGTCCCCTGAGCCCTGCCAGGAGTGATTCCAGACCATAGAGCCAGGAGTAAGCCCTGAGCACTGTAGGGTATATCCCTGCCACTTAAGAACAAGACAGAGACTCTTCTTTTTTCCTATGTGCAGTTTCCTAGCTGAATTTAGAAACAAGTATTACTGCTAGCTCGTTGGAAATTCCCATCAGGGTTGGTTTGTTTGATTTTGCAGCAGGGAGGGAAGAGGACAGTGGGGGTGGCCTCCCAGGCAGAGCTTAGGAGGATCTGGAGGCCCCTGATAGTTCTTGTCTAACACAACTGGCCAATGTCAGGGTCTGAGGAGTCTCCTGGCCACACCCGGCAGAGCTCAGAGGACCTTGTAGTGCCAGGGATTGCAGTGGCGGCAGTGCCCTGGAAGCCTTAACCCTGTGCTATGTCCTCCATCAGGGTTTTGGTCTGGCCCTCGGCCTTCCACTCTTATCACCTGCAAAGAACCTAAAGTTTCAAATTCTAAACTCCTGACAAACTCTTCAGACCAGGGGTTCTTAAGCTTCTTGTTCCCTGTTCACCAGCTGCTGTGTATCCCACGAACTCCTCAGAAGTGGTTTTAACTGCACCAAATGAAATATATATTAGAAAATCAGCTAATCATATTGAAATGCTGTTAGCAACTATTTTTAAATGCAACACAGATGCATCATCAAGAGTCATAAAATACTTCTTTTATTAATATTACATTAGAAGAACCGAAGAACCAAAAGCTAATCTAATAGTTCTCTAATTCTAAAGTAGAGTGGAGTGTAAATGATATATCGGGCTGTTGGCAGTCACTGTGATCTAACAGGCGACAATCTGTATTTTCTTTAGGCAATTGAGTTACAAATACAGCTAACGCTAATTTGATTTTGCCAATGATGTTTGTAACTAGAAAAAAATGATAAAGATACGCTGCAGGTTATGAAAATAAAAATATCAACTACCCCGAGTTCACAGACAGCCTGCTCGCAGGCCCATGTTGGGCCTCTCACTCCCCAGTGGACTTCAGCAAACGACATCCCGAGGCCCATTTTCTCAATCGCTTGCAAGCTCAGAATAGGTTTTGCATTTTTTAATGATTGGGAAAAACAACCGAAAGAGGATTTCATGGAGCGTAAAAATGCGATGACATTCAGATTTCAGCATCCCTCAGGAAACTTTCACTGGAACACAGCCACCTCCATGCAGATGAAGTTTGTTGGTGGCTCTTTCTGCCCGACACTTGTCAGAGCTCTGTCATTGCCTTAGGTAACTAGCATGGCTCGGAGAAGTCTGAACTATTTATTACTGTCCCTGCACAGAAATTCCTTTCCCAGCCTTATGTGAGGACTTGACAATTCTACTGTGTCTGGATGCGGGGTGTGATGGGACATGGGGGAGGGGCCATGAAAAGTGGGGACAGGGGTTTTGTTCCTAGAGGCACTGAGCTGGGAACACAGTGAAGACCCCAGGCAGGAGGAGGTGAAGTACAAAGGCTGGAGGGAGGGAACACAGAAGGGGCTTCACTCAATGACACAAAGATCTGTGGAGTGAAGAATCCCCTTTCATGCAGGGCATGCGCCCTGCCCTTCAGGAGTGCATCCTGTGGAGAAGGATTTTTCACTCTGGTACTTTCTGGTTATCCCGACAAACTTCTGAGGTTTCCTATAAATGGATCAGGCACCCATTTATTTGAAGTTCACATGAAAATGAAGCAGAATTTAAAATTCTGTTGCTCTGTTGCTCTCACCCCATTTTAGGCAGTGGGCAGTTTAAGACTCTTAAAAAACAAAAATGTTGTTTAGGACCAGGGACATAACACAGGGCATAAGGCAGTCGACTGGCACACAGTCTATCCTGACTCAATCCTTGGTGCCACATTTGGTCCCCTAAGCCCACCCAGGACTGATCCTTGAGCACAGAGCCAGTAGTAAGATCTGTGCAGCACAAAAATTCTCAGCACTGAAAGTAGACTATAGACAGAACGTGTTTGCCACTCAATGCCTCTTTTGCAAACCTTAGCATCCAAAACAAGAGAAAGAACAAAAGGCAATGCCCTGCCATAGAGGCGGGATGGGATGGGGTTATGGGAGGGGTAGGAGGGTTACTGGGACCATTGGTGGTGGAGAATGGGCTCTGGTGGAGGGATGGGTACTCGATCATTGTATGACCAAAACCCAAGTACAAAAACTTGTAAGGTCAGCAAATGTACCACATGGTGTTTTGCTAAAGTAAGTAAAGTAAGTAAAGGCCCTCCCGTTGATCATCGATTTGCTCGAGCGGGCCCAGTAACGTCTCCATTGGAGACTTTGTTGTTACTATGTCTGGCATATCGAATACTCTCGGTAGCTTGCCGGGCTCTCCGAGAGGGGCGGAGGAATCGAACTCGGGTCGGCCATGTTGGCTGCGTGCAAGGCAAACGCCCTACCCGCTGTGCTATGTGTTTTGCTAATAAAAAAAAAATTCTCAGCATTGATGGACAAAGTTACTGCATTGCCATGACCCTCCATATGGACAGTAGTGCCCACACCTCTCCACCACTGTCCCTTTGTATTGTGTTAAGGACATTTAAGGGACTATAGTGATAGCACAGTTAGGTAAGGCATTTGCCATGCATGCTGCTGGCCCAGGTTTGATTCCCAGCATCCCATATGGTCCCCTGAGCACCGCCAAGAGTAATTCCTGAATGTATGAGCCAGGAGTAACCCCTGTGCAATGCTGGTGTGACTCAAAAAGAAAAAAAAAGAACATTTAACGTGAAGTCTGTACCTCTTGATAGGTGTTCAAGTTTGCAACAGAATATTGTTGGCTAGATGCACTATAGAACATCACATCTCTAGAACTTACTTCTCCTGCTTCACTGAATTTAACGATTCTTTATGGTCACATCCCAGTTCCCCCAACCACCGAATCATGACAACCAGCATCCCTTTGATTTTGAATCTATGAAGTTTACTCCTCCCACCATAAATAGAGCCATGCAATATTTGTCTTCTTATGAGTGATTTACTTATAAAATAGTCAAGATTCATCCATAGTGGTTTGTTGTTGTTATTTTGGAGGGGTGGAGCTGTTGAGCTCCATTCACAATGCTCAGAGCTTTCTCCTGGCTCTGTGTTCAGGGATCAATCTTGCTGATGCTTGGGAGAACCATACACCAGGGATTAAATCGGGTGGGTATTGTGCAGAGAAAGTGCCCTGTATAATGGCTCCAGTCCCTTCATCTACATTGTTGCATGTTGCCAGTTTGCTTCTTTAGTATGGCAGAAAACTATTCCATGATATGCATGTACTTGTCTTTGTTTGGGTTTGGTTTTTGTTTGTTTGTTTGTTTGTTTGTTGAGTCACATACAGAGGTACTCAAGCCTTACTCCTGGCTCTGTACACAGAAATCACACCTGACAGGGCTCAGGAGACCATATGGGATGCTGAGGATCAAACCCCAGATTGACTGCATGCTAGTCAAGCACCCTACCTATTGCAGTACTATCACTCTGGCCCACATGTCACATTTTTCTTTCCTTATCAGTTGATCTAAGAATCCTTAGGTTATTTCTACATCTCTTTAATGACTCCCCAATACCCATGAAAGCAGTTTAAAAAAAAAAGAAAGAAAAAGAAAAAAGAAAAAAACAACTTAGTGCTACAGAGGCGCCTTTAGGACACAGTAGCAGAGAGAGAGAGACAGAGAGAGACAGAGAGACAGAGAGTCAGAGAGACAGAGAAAGAGACATAGAAAGATACAGACAGAGATAGAGACAGAGAGACAAATACAGAGACAATGAGACAAAAACAAGGAAAGAGAGAGACCAAGAGAGACAGAGAAAGAGAGACAGAGACACACAGAGATAGAAACAGAGACAGAAAGAGAGAGCTGAGGAGGTGAAGATGCAGAGCAGCGGAGGGAGTTGGGAATGAGAGTGGGCACTTTGCCTTCCCTCCCAGCTGCCCATTCCTCCTATCCCCCCATCCCTCACCCCCGCCCCGGCCACCGTCAGGACCAGCTCCCAGAGGCTGCGCCGGACTGGTGGTACCCGGGCCTGTCCATAACCGACTGTGCTTGTGCCCCCAACTTCCTCCCTCTCCGTGCTGCGGGCGCTCCCCCAACGGCAGCAATACTTCATCCTGCTCATCCTCACGGATGGTGTCATCACGGACATGGCTGACACACGGGAGGCCATCGTCCACGCCTCGCACCTGCCCATGTCAGTCATCATCGTGGGCGTGGGCAATGCGGACTTCAGTGACATGCAGATGCTGGACGGCGATGACGGCATCCTGCGGTCCCCCAAGGGCGAACCAGTGCTGCGTGACATCGTCCAGTTCGTGCCCTTCCGGAACTTCAAACACGTAAGCACTGGACAGCAAAACCAGCTCGGGGCCACGGGTGTGCACCAAGGGTTGTGGGGAACCAGTGTCCCAGGTCGGGGTGCGGAAGGGGGCTGGTCCCCACACCAGGCTCTATCAGACATTTGTTTTATTTCCTTGCTCAAATTCTATAATTTTTCTATTTTATTTACACAACGTGGTCTACATTGTTTTTTACCATGGGAGTTTTCGGGCAAGCCATGTTCCGGTTCCCTGGTACCCCCATCCCTCCTCTTCTGAGCTCAAGTTCTCTCCCATACCCCCAGTCTGATTCCTTGACAGTTACTTGTGTTTGGGGGTGGGTAGCAGAGCTTACTCACTCCTGGCTCGCTTCTCCGATATCATTCCTGGCAGAGCTCAAGGAAACATATGGGGTACTGAGTCTCGAACCCTGGTCATGGGCACACATGCCCCTCCCCCATAACATTTTTATGCTGAATAGTTGTAGTTTGGGCCCCAGCTTAGGTGATGTTAACTCTAGAGGTGTAATAGAGACAGACATTTCTTTTTTTTTTTTAAATTTTATTGAATCGTCGTGAGATAGTTACAAGCTTTCATGTTTGGGTTATAATCACACAATGATCAAATACCCATCCCTCCACCAGTGCACATTCCCCACCACCAGTATCTCCGATATACCTCCTCTCCCTCCCTCCCCCTGCCTCCATGGCAGACATGATTCCCCATACTTTCTCTCTACTTTGGGGCATTATGGTTTGCAATACAGACACTGAGAGGTTATCATGTTTGGTCCTTTATCCACTTTCTTCACACATCTCCCATCCTGACTGATTCCTCCAGCCATCTTTTTCTTAGCGATCCCTTCTCTATTCCAGCTGCCTTCTCCCCTTTGCTCATGAGGCAGTTCTTCCAGCTATGGAGCAATCTATCTGTCCCATGTATCTACTGAGACAGACACCTCACCTCCACACTGATCCTTACACCTATATTGCCCCTACCCCCCTCTGCTAGCTGGACTCCAGCAAAAGAAGTGCAGCCCGAGTTGTAGACAGGGATCATGTGACTGTGGCAGCCAGCCCTTCCCTGGTACTTGTCCTCAGCAGTAGATTCGGGTACCTCTGGGGTCCCCCACCCTGTTTGAGGCTGCCAGGTGAAAGTAATGAGATGCAGCAGGTACACAACTTTTGTTCTTGTGTAAAGCTCTGTGCCCCGGAAGGAGCTGGTATTGGCTTGGCTCCAAATGCTCCATAAATCTATAATAAGCAGCATTAGATTTATTTAACTCAGGAGAGAGCCCTTCCAAATGAGGTAACTGCGGTCCATCAGGAAAAATGCTGGAATGACTTTGCTAAGGCCGCTTTCAAACTGGATCGTGGCTTAAAGGGTTAAATGGAAATTGGGGAAGAGGTTCTAGAGAAGCAGTACTGGAGTGAGGGTACACACCTTGCTGGCATCTGGAATCTCAGCACCCCATGGTCCCCCCAGCACTGATGGGTGCAGTTCCAGAGGCCCACGGGCACACCAGGATGGCCTGACCTTGACTGATCCAATCCTGAGAACCACAGGACCAGAGAATTGTCAGGAGGGGGTTTCAAGTCCCTGTCAGCACAGCTTGGGAAGCCCCATTCCCCTCCCCAAATTGCAGGGATTACCTTCTGTAGAAGATAAAAATCTTACCAGTTTTCTCCACTTGTAACAAGAGCTTTTACATCTTGAACCCAAATCAATACCTCAGCAAAAGTACTCAGCAGCAATTTTTCTGGATGTCCTAATGAAAGATGAGAATCTTCCCAATTCCTACAAAACCCTGAACCTCTTGGGTTTTGATGGCCCTGGAGCTATTTCCTCCTTCAGTACTCTTTCAGGGCTGCTGGTCTCAGGAGGACCCCCTCATGCATCCTCAGCTCTGCCCCAGCAGTCCTTGGGGGGTAATGTGAGTAGCCACAGACAGTCCTCCATCATCTTCTATCCTCTCCCACTCACGAGAGTCACCCAAGAACCCAGAAATTCCCCCAATCCCTCCACCATCAATGCCCCCCACTGTCCAGTATCTTAATATCCCCAGCAAGATGGCCCCTGAATCTTTCATAGCCTGAAACTACTCTAAAGACCCTTTGCAATAATGAGAATGTTCTCCCTTTGCTGGGGAGACTCTGTCCCTAAACCTCTTTCTGCCTGCCTTGATCTGTACCCCTTGTCTCCAGGTCCTACTGCAACCCTCAACCGCCAGCACCTCTGTCCCCAGCCAGTTGCTTCAAGTCAGGAGAAGAAAGTCTAGTGAGGTGCTCTCCTCTCCTAGTACTCCTGGGGGGGGGTGTGCTTTGGAAAAGCCTTTCTCCTCCACCCCAACATCACCACACACCCACTGCATGCCCAAGTTGGGCACATCAGTTGGGGCTCACCTTGGTACCCCAGTGATGCTGGTGAGGAGTATCAGGGACGTAGGTGGATGAATGAATCATGATTAATTATGACCCCTTCCAGGGCCAGTGGTTAGTTCTGCGACCTCTGTGGAGTAGCACTCAGATCACATGCCAAGCTTCTTTCTGCCTTGGGTCACAAGGGAGAGCATGCCTGGCTCTAGGGTCCCCTAAGCAAGAAAGTACTGCCCAGAGTCCTTTTACCACACAATCACAGTTCTCTGGGTAAGGAGCTCTCTGCAGTCTCACTAGATGTATCAGAGAAGCATAAAATCAATCCTTGACCACCCCCATCCCCCATCACACTGTCAGTGACACCATGAGTGAGAGCAACTTTCTTCAGTATATTCCCTGAGGATGTTTTCAGATAAAACCACCATGGGTTACATAAAAGAAGCCTGGCTGCCCTGCAAATTATGCATATGACTGGAAAGCAAGGAGGAGAGAGGAGCAGAAATAGCATGTCCCCTACCAGGAGGGATGTGCTCAGACAAGCTGAGTGGATGCTTCATGCTCATCCATGCAGCTGCCTCCTTGCATGGTGCCCAACATGTGGAGAGAGGCGCCCCATTTCTCAGCATCAGTGACCCATCAGGGCTTTGCTGGCATGAAAAGGGTCAAAAAGCTTACCCCAAGGAGATTTATAAACTTCCCCTAACAAACACGTGTACTCAGACATGTGCACATTCACATACTCACACATGCGTGCGCGTGCACGCGCGCACACACACACACACACACACACACACAGACACAGAGCTTCGTGCTTCCTCAGTGTCACTGCAAGCTTCAAACCTCTACCCCAATACTCTTCCTCCACTTCCTCCTCCTCCAACACTCATGGAGAGTCTAGTTCAAGTTCAGGTCATGTGCTAGGTCCTAAGTCTACAGCAGTAAGATTCAAACCTCAGGAATGTTCTGGAGACTTGCAGGGTTGCCACTTAGGTGTCAGCAGAACTGTGTCCTGCTAAGATGCCCTTGAAGGGTGACAAAGAGGCACTATGTTGCTACCAGACTTCAGAGCAGGGAGCAGTGGCCGCAGGAGGGTCTCATAATATGCACAGGAAGCAGGTAGGAGCAGAGCCTTGGTGAGAGGGAGTTGGGGGACACTGGTCACGAGGGGAGAGCCCTGTGTGGGGCAAGAAAGTGGGATTTGCTCCTGGTCTCTGTGCTGCTGCCCCTTCCTGCTACAGGAATGACTGCCCCCGGGATGACAGGAGCTAGTCACCCTCCCCCTTATCTTTATGGATTTCAAATGAGACTTTAAAGCCCATTTCATTATCTAAATGAATCTACTCTAAATTCAATGAGCTGTAAATAAAAGAGAAGATGAGGAGCCAATAGAAGTCAGTGGCTGCTGCACTGTCTGTCTTCAGACTGCCTTGGGCATAGAGGCTTAAGAGCAAACAGCATGCAGGCTCCAGGCTCTGTGGCCCCAGGAGAGTGACTTAACCTGTCTGTGCCACAGACCTGGTTCTGTCACACAAGGCAAAAAGGACACAAATTGGGAGAGGGGGTGCCAGTAAAAAGTTAGCTAGCACAGACTCTGGCCCATGTCGTGGTGAGTGAGTGCAACTAGTATATAAACATTGCCAAAGGCCCCGATTTGTCTGGCATTTCCCCCATTTGCTCATTGGAATCACCAGCACAGTAAGCAAGGGGAACTCAGAATCATCACCTGGGAACCACACTGACCAATACAGTAGCAGATAATCATTTGAAATTCATGCAATACTAGATTTGTGTTTCCATCTCACTGGCTGTACTTTGAACTGCATGTTCTATTGGACAGCGCTGTTTAGGAATAGTTTTATCTTCCCACCAGAGCAAATTTATCTACAGCAGATAACATGTGTGGTTGTCTTTTGGGAAGGACCACACCCGGTGTTGCTCAGGACTTACTCCTGGCTCTATTCTCAGAGAACATTCCTGTTCAGGGGCCCATATGCTGGGGACTGAACCCAGGTTGGCCGTGCGCAAGGCAAACACCCTACCCACTATACTACCACTCTGGTTCCACATGTGTGGTTCTTGTCCAAGGATGACTTTGCTTCCCAAGGTAGATTTGTGGATGGGGGTGATGTTCCAATAACACTGATTGGGCTCTGAGATCACTCCTGGCAGTATTTGAACAACAAGGTGGACAGTTTAATGCTCAGTCTCTACAATGTTGTGTTGCTTGCTTGGTTAGTGGTGACTGGGGACCACCAGGATGATCCTGGCAGTTCTCTGTACACAATTTTTAATGGTTACAGTTGTGGGGTGCTACTTGCATCTTGTAGATGGAGGCCATGGAGGTTGGCAAACATTTTACCACATACAGGATAGTCCCCACATAAAGGCAATCAGGGCCAACACATTCATAGCACAGAGGTTGAAAAATCCTAGAATTTATAAATCTGAATATGTTCTTCTCATGTGGCTAAAAATTAGGGACTGGAAGCTTTTAACATTTGTTTTGTCAGTGATTCAATCGTATCATATTCCATTTATCTCAAAATGGAAAAATGGTTGCCATAGCTCCAGAAATCACGTTCTAGTTCAGTGCAAAGAGTAAGTGAAAAGGGAAACAGTCGACCATATTTATCCCCTAAAATAGGAACAGAAATCATTTCAAGGACCCAGGAAACATTCGTTTTCATCTGAAAGAGGAAAACTAGGGCATAATGCCATCATTAGATGTTAAGAAAGCTGGCAAATCAATGACGTGGTCTTTAAATGTGTCTGAGACATGATAGCAAGGAGAGAGTCGGAATCTCGATTTAACCCAGGACACATGACTCAGAATGTAATATACATCCCTGAGAAGTTATTTTTAAAACAAGAGTGTGTTCATGGATGGCACATGTTTTGCATGCTGAGGTATCCAGAATAAAAAGGGTTATATAAAAAAAACTCACTCTTTTCAGATTGTTTCCCAGATATGTAGCTCTGATTTCAAATTACTTAAAATCGCTAAGATAGAACAAATTCTTTTCATGAAGGGCAGCTCTCTGTCCTTTGGGTTCTTTACTGAGCTCCAACACTTCCAAACTGCTCTCTTCTCTTCAAATTTTTCACCTCTGCCATAGTGTCTGATAATAAGGTTTAAATAAAACTTGACTTGCAGTTAATACTAAAGGGTTGAATCCCAAAGCAGACCCAGTTCAGTATGACTACAGAGTCCAGACAGAATTATCAGCCTCCATTAGCCTCCATCCCCCAAGTCATACAGTGAGTCCATAGGGTGGGAGAAAAATGTTCCCTATCATTGGTCCAAGTTTCAGGATGCTCCATCATCTCAACTCATTTCCAACTGGATCCCTAACCAGTCCTGCATCTCCATCCCTATAGGGCACATCTCCAACAGTTTCATCTTTCAGGGTAATTTAACTTCCTGTTCTCAAACTACATAGTGTTTGTAACTCTTGAGAGCCCCACTTCTAAAATTTCAGTATACCTAGGAAACTTGTAGCATTGTGTTAAAATATAGATTCTGATGAACTCTAGGATAGTTCTAATGTATAGAAAGCTCCTTTCTTTTGTATGTTGCTGAATGCAGGTGGCATGTTCTGTCTCATCATACAGTTAGTATTGGCCACACCAGGCTCCTCTCACTTGACTGTAACTTACCCACTGGCAAGAACCTAACCTTCCCACCCCCACCATCCATCCTAGTACAGAGGCTGGACCATTATAAACATATTGTCTGGAATGGAATGAAATCAGAAACAAAACTTCAGGACAATTCTTTCTGTCCTTTCATTTTTACCCAGCTTCAAGAGTGACTGTATGTTGAGACTTGCATTTGAAAAATTAAAGTTTCATTTTCCAATGACCTGTCAGCTCTTGCTTAGTATAGAACTCTCAACAAATAAAGAGAGTGAGGGAATGAATGAATGAATGAGTGAATGTATGAGAGTAGCTTTCCAGTGCAAGGCTTGCCTTTTGGTCCATGACCAAATTGATGCTCATTTCTCCTTCCCTGCAGGCATCTCCAGCTGCCCTGGCAAAGAGCGTGTTGGCTGAAGTCCCAAATCAAGTCGTGGACTATTACAATGGCAAAGGGATTAAACCAAAATGTTCATCAGAAGTGTATGAGTCTTCCCGGACACTAGCACCATGAACACCACACATTTTACAGAGTTCTGAAATACTATTCCACTAATATTTAATACTTCTACTACTCCTATACTTAAAACACCCACATATGCGTTTAAAAATAGCACGTTTTGGTGATTTTTAAACTACTTTCTGTTTCCCTTTTTGTTTTTGTTTTTGCATGTGTAGACCTGAGGCCTGGATCTGTTAAGCCCTTGTATTGTTAAAGACTTTTTACAAAGAAACACAATAATTATAACTTACTCTTTACAGCATGTCGCCTTGAAATAATAAAATGGTATCGGTATCTGTTTTTTATACAGGTTTGTTGAAATTTTGCTAAATTTCTTATTATCTTTACACTGTAAAGCATTTTGAAACATTTATTGAATGTTGATAGCCAAAACATAATTTGGTTTTATCTGTTAGGGGATGGAGACTTTTCAAAATGGCAGATGCATGGACTGTATTTTGCATGTTTAAAATAAAAATATACCAATATTGTTTTTGCAGTTGTTATCTATAATTCCTTCCTGCTCAGAATGTTCTCTCTACTGAAAAAGAGTTTGATCCACCAAGGGATAGCCTTCTTGCCATGAGTCTGGAAAACCTAACACAGTACCTCTCCCATTTTACTGTGCATTCAAATTGCCTGAGGATCTCAGTGAAATTCAGACCAAGGCAATGGGTTTGCATGGGCCCAAGATCCCAGATGATGCCAGTGGAGTCCTTAGAGCACAACCAGAAAACTGAGGTTGTAGGCATGAGGCTGTGATTCTACTGTAGAGATCATCAGAAGCAGGATGGCACGTAATCTTCTGAGAATGGCATATCTCCCAGCCAATAGCACAAAGACCCTGCGGTCTCAAAGGTGGGAGCAGAAAGCCATGAAACTGATTTCAGAAGCTGCAACCTACCTGCAATCAGTCTCACTGCTTTCTAGTCACACCTCTTACTTAAACAGACTAGAATGCATGCCTCCTGGCCAGCCCTTGCCTTCTTAAAGGAGGTATCTTACCCCATAGCATGAATGGTTCCATTTTTTATGTCAATCCCTAGCAGTGACCTTGGAGTCCTCAAAGGAATCATAATAATGTTAGGGAGTCCATGGCCATGTGGTATGATGCCCCAGGGCTGGCCCACTGAGCAGAACTTCAAGTAGAGTATGGAAGAGTCTTTTAAGAGCTCCCAAGAGAAAATCATTGTTTGGTCTGGAAGTGTTTTGTTGTAAGTTTGCTGGTCTTGAACCAAAAAAATAAATGTTTTTCACTTGTAAAATCTTCTCCTAAAGAAATGAACGAGTGTGTTTGTCAGGCATAAAAGCACAAGGTAAAACTGATTTGTTTTGAGACCTAGGGAAGTAAATAGTAATGTACAAGAGATCTGTTTGTTATTTGTTTGTTTGTTGATGGGGGAAGAAACAACCAAATCAAATGCCTGTATGATTCCCAGTGTTATAATTACAGATCCTAATTTTGCAAATACATGTCAGCCAAATGCACAACATTTTGGGAATGGCAGTAAAAATGTATGACTGAAAAAAACCTCAAATATTTAAACTGTATCGTTTTATGAATAAATTGGGTACTAACTTAATGTGTTCAAGAGTTAAGAGTCTTGTTTCTCTGTTTAAGGCGATTTCCAGTGATTTATTTCATGTAAGTGATGTGGCCTCAAATGAGGAGTAACTCTTTCACGATGCCCTGAAAACATGACCCATTATTTTTAACAAACATGAAATGACAGCATTAAAGCCCCTTCCAACAGAAATAATCTGCTTTTTGTCTTAACCGCAACAGATGACATGAACTGCACTGAACAGAAGCAGCCGAGAGATGGAAAATATAGCTGGCTAATCAAATGAATGAATGCATGCATGAATGAATGAACTTTTGCCTCTTAACTCATAGAAAATCTACTGTAAATTGAGTAGGTGGATTGTGTTTCTGGATGCCAATCAAAATGATTCAGTTTATCACTCTCAAGTATTAGAACCCTCTATTAGAATCTTCTACTTTCATACCAGGACTCCTGGGATCAGTATGACGATAGTAAGGCAGATGATGGTTTGCCTAGCTGAATCTCAGAGAGTTTACTTTCTTTTTAGTACTAGACAAACCCAGCTCAAAAGCAAAATAAAAATAAAAGCTAAAAGTGTTGAAAGCTTATAGTCCACAGAGCTATTGGTGCTGCCCTCAGTGGTGTTATAGACTCTCATCTCATTGTCCCAACAGCCCTGTCAGTAGTATTAGTCTCAATTTGAAGATCAGGAAGTGGAGACACTGAGAAGCCAAGTAGTTAACCCAAGGCCACACAGCTCTCAAACCCAGTACCAGATATGATCTCAGACAAGCTAACTCCTGAGGCTACATTCATTGTTGAATTCCCATTTCAACACCCTTCCTGGTAGTTGACCTCCTGGTTAGGTAGCCAACTGTTGGAGAGTTGATCTTTGCCTGATCTTTGCTTCTATTTCAGAAAGTTCTGTCTTTCCCAGTAATCTTAGCTTCTCCGTGTGGGATCTTGGCCTTTTGTGATGTGCTGCATCCCTGTGGGAACAGGATAAGTGGTTCAGGATGCAGTCAGGTTCTCCCAACATCCAGAATTCAACCCATTTAGATTGCATCTGACCACAACGCACTGTACAAGCCCAGTGGAGGAAGGAAAAGGAGCAGAAGGACAGGCAGAGCAGAGAGGGGTAAGGCAGGGGAGTCCAGGGTTAGGAGGGAACGGATGTGAAACTGGGCTGTGTGTACCCAGCAGAGGCAGCTACCCCTCTCCCCAACATGTACCAGAATGGCCTTGGTGTAGTCAAGTCACTGGAGTTTTCAAGAGAATTGGATAAATCTCTTGTCCAAAAATTTTTTTTAAATTGTTTTTTTATGCATAACCCACCAATTAATAATAAGTAAAACTCAACACAGTAAAACTGGATTAGACACCATCCAAACCAAAGTGTAGGAAGTACCTCTGTTCTCCTAGTGGTTCCACAGTGCAAAATCGGATCTAGTGATGGGTGTCGTGGTGTCCTGCCCACCAGGCCTCAAGGGACAATGCAGACTCTTGAGGATCCCCCAAAAGATATTATTTCTGTGGTTTATGTCTGTTAAGATTTGCTGTTTTCAAAATGGAAACTGAAAATATATGTGAATTCACTGAAATGGCAATGATAAACCTATGACCTGTGAATACAAATAAAATCTGTGCACTAAAAACTCTATTTTCAAAACCAAAAAAAGGAAATGAGACAAGTAGCATGCGTGTCTTGCTGTAACCAAGGACTGGATGACAATATTCAATTATTAATGAAATAATAAAAGCTTTACTAGAAACCTGAATTATCATACCTGCTTCTATGCTCAGTCTGTTGAGAATGACAATTGGTTGGACCAAGAAATCCAGGCACTAAACAACAACCCAGGCACTAAACAACAACCCAGTTTCACAGTTTCATGATTAATTTCAGAAGAGATACAAGCCAAGCCAAACTTCTAAAACTCACTGGCTGAGTTATACGGATCACGGTGCTCCTGGAGCATGCAGACACGTATGGGATCATGTGGCATCTCCAAATTCCTCAATGCTGACAGTCCAGTAGGAGCTCAGCAAATTAGATGGGAAAGTAGCATAGAAGCCAATAAATAAAAACAATAATACAGAGGGTTCAACTAGCAACAAACAGAGTAAACCTTCAGACTTGAATGACTCCCTTGTGAGATATAACAATTTTCGTGAATTTCCTTTTACTGAAATATTTTTTGGATAATTCCATTAACCATTTTGTTGTTACAGGAAATATAAACAATTATTTTGTGCCTTATAGGGGGCAAGCTTGGTGGGTGAATGGGAAACTGGGTACAATGGTGGAGGGAAGGTCACGTTGCTGATGGATAGATCTTGGAACACTTAGTACACCAAACAGCTGTATTATGAACAACTTTGTAAACTGTGGTGTTTAAACAAAGTAAAAAATTCAGAGGCTGGGCAGCTGGGAATGGAGAAAGCTGTTTAACCTTCTCAGACAACAAACTGTTTCTATAATGTTCAGATTGGACAGGTAATAGTTTCTACAAGGCTAGTTACAAGATAAAATATGAAGTCATCTTAAGAAATCTTTTTGTCAATGAAACTTTTCCATGGTCTCTTGACACAGAAGGATTTGCTAGTCCCAGGTGTGAATTAGTGAAATCATGCACTGGTCATTTGGAATATATTGATCCCCTCAGCCATTCGTATGTGGAAAATTCTTCCACAGCTTATTTTACTGAATCAAAATTCCTTCCCTTTGTAGTGGTATCTGTGGTGGCTCATTTCATTAGCAGTCTGCAAAGAGAACAAGGCTGTCAAATGACAGCCACAGATCTGGGGTTCCCACAACCTTGATCTTGACTGCACATGCGTGCACATATACGCGCGCGTGCGCGCACACACACACAGTTGTTTTTCTAAAAGTGACAGGCTCACTTCACTCATATTTTAAGGATGTTGTTGCCCACTGCCCATGTTTGTATAACTCTAGTTTATCTGCCAGTCTATCTTTTTCAAGTGCTGAATGACATTCTCAGGGAAAAGAAAGAACGGCTTTCTTTTCTTTCAGGTTCTCGCACAATAATGCACAAATTTGTGTAGGATGCAGCAACTGCTGGGCGCTTGGAGGGGGCTTTGCACTTTTTCAACAGCAGATGAAAACAACACAGACTCAGGCAAGGGAGAGAGCACAGGAGTTAGTGTGGAAACCTTGTGTGTTCCTGACCCAGTTTAGGTCCCAGCCACCACATGAGCCCTGAGCACGGCAGGGCTGGAATGGTAGAACCCCAACCTCAAGACCTGAACAACTGTGTATCCTCGAACCAGTGCTTTAACTGACTGACCACTGGTTGAGAATTGCTGGGAGAGTTCCCTCCCCACACCCAGGCTTCTGCCCTCACCACAAAAAAAAAATAGTATGAAGGGACAAGAATGTTTTTAATTGAATCACAGTGAGATACAGTTATAAAGCTTTCGTGATTGAGTTTCAGTCATACAATGTTCCGACACCCATCCCTTCACCAGTGTACATTTTCCACCACTGATATTCCCCTTATTATTCCTGCTAGCTCCCTCCATAGAGGCAAGCACTTTTCTTCTTTTTCTTCTCCTTCTCTTTCTTCTCCTTCTCCTCCTTCTCCTTTACCTCCTCCTCCTTCTCCTCTCTTCCTTCTCCTCTCCTCCTCCTCCTCCTCCTCCTCCTCCTCCTCCTCCACTTCTTCCTCCTTTTCCTCCTCCTCCTCCTTCTCCTCCACTTCTTCCTCCTCTTCCTCCTCCTCCTCCTCCACTTCTTCCTCCTCTTCCTCCTCCTCCTCCTCCTCCACTTCTTCCTCCTCTTCCTCCTCCTCCTTTTCCTCCTTCTCCTCTGCTTCCTCCTCCTCTTCCTCCTCCTCCTCCTTTCTCCTATGGGGCGGGGGGGGGGGGGGCAGTTGTTTCTCCTGGAGGCCTTCTACATTCCTTCCCACTTTCCATTGATCCCTCCCATAGCATTAGTGGGACAAGTCACCAACAGAGGTACCTCTTTGCTACTGACCTCCTCTGCTGCCTCCTCTTTCTGACCTCAGCTAAACACCTTTGATTCTGAGTTCCTATAAGATTCAACTGTCCAGATCATTGAGGAGTCCTCACTCTAAAATCTAGAACCTTAGTTATATTATTGGCAAAGATGTTGGAAGTTACCAAATTAAAGGTCCTCACAGGTGAGGTTCCAGGTAGGTGAGGACTTACCAAAACCCACAGAAGTTCACTTAAAGTCCTGACATAGTCTACACAGGATTTACAAGCTCATTGTTGATCCTTACAGAAAAAAATTTCAGGAGGAGACAAAGTGTGAAGCCGAAAAATCTGATTTAGAAAAGGTGAGAGAGAAGGATAAAGGAAATGTGCTCCAGAGTGAACACAAATTTCTCCAGAGACAAAGTAGAGAGCATTGGAAAGGAATTACACATCCCCACGTCAGAATGCAAGCACGTCTCAAAAATGGAGGGGCATCCCAGAAAGTTAATAAAGAAATGTCGCATACCCAAGATTTTCAGGCATGAGCCTTAAGCAAGATGGAGAGTGGGTCCCATGGATAAAAGGGGCATTGTCACACCCCTAGAGTTGATGGGTGTGAAGTCACCCAGACAAAGTGGAATGTGCACCTCTCATCTTCAAAGTTGGATCACTCTGAATATGCACTGCATGCTGAAAATAGGTAAGAGAACAAACAGGATAATCTTTCAGTATCTGTATTGCAAAACATAATGCCTAAAAGGAGAGAGAGAGAGAGAGAGAGAGAGAGAGAGAGAGAGAGAAGGAAAAGTGTCTGATGGGTACATAGGATGGGGTGAGGGTGTCAGGAGGGAAACTGGGGACACTGGTGGTGGGAAATGTATACTGGTGGAGGGGTGGGTATTGGAATACTGTAGGACTGAAACCCAACCATGAACAGTTTTGTAATTCTGTACTTCACAGTAATTCAGTTTTTTTAAAAAAATAGGTCTTAAAGGGTTTTTATTTTTGCTGTTTCCCACCCCACCCATCTCCACCAAGGGTGTGTTGCTAGGACATTGTCAAGAAAGGACTGCTTAATGGTCCT